AAGCTACCAGGCCAATTGAATGGTAGCTCTCCCCCTCGTCGCCTTGGATTTTAGGGTAATAGGTTTCAACTGATCAGGAAAGGTCGCGAAATTGTGTCACCAGGTTTTCGCGCTAAACCAGATTGAATTAATCGTGAGCCAAGACTTTCAAAGTGGGTCGTCGCTATACCTATTTGAATTTATCGTGAGCCAAGAAATTCTTTGTCATCAACCAACTTGACTAGAATCAATCGACTAAATATTCTGAATCATCATAACTTATTCCACAGACTTGAGAAAAATCGGGGTCTAGTTTCATCAAAATAAGCTTGTCTCGCTCTATCATATACTTGGCTTTTGGCCCATTTTGAGAAGTTTTTGTTCTCTGAACTCACGCATCAACCCTAACCTCCATATCCCCATATGAAATAGTAAATCTATATTAAGGTTAATCCCTTTCTTCCTTAATATACTTTAGTAATAAAGGAAAAAATATAATTAATATCTTCTTAGCCTATTTAATATTATTAATTATATATATACTATTAACCCTTATAAGTTAAGGTATTTTATTAAATACTATATTATTTCTAGACTTAAGATATTTTATTACCTTTTATATATTATTATTATTAACTAAAAACTTATTTTAATATATCTTTTTTTACTATTTAATAGTATTATAATACTACTTTACTACTCCTCTTATTATATCTTTAAGCTCCTTATATATTTATCTTATATATCTTAAAGCTTTAATATAATTCCTTTAATATATATATATTTACTAAAGTTATATAAAGTCTAAAGTCTATTAACACTTTATATATAGTAATAACTTAGCTCTAGGTATTAATATATAAATTGCTATTAATATTATTATTATAAGCCTATTAGTCTTTTATTATATAATGCCTTATTTTAAAATAGACTTTAATGCCTTAGTAATCTAAGTATTAATCTCCTTTTATAATACATTTTTAAGTAAAAGTCGCTCCTAGGCTTATAGTATTAGAATAAAGATATTAAACTCTATCTTAATAATATAATAATTAGATTTATACTTTATGCTATATATTATATACTTAATAGTTAAAGATACTAGGTTTACTAAAATAAGGATTAAGTTAATTATTATTTTAAAATCTTTATTACTTTATATTTTTATTTCTCTTAAAAGCAGGCTTATTAAATTAAACTTAATTATAAGGCTAATAATTTAATTTACTTTACCTTACCTTATTAAGGATATCTTATTTCTTCCTTATAATTAGTTATATTAATTAAAGTCTTTAATAATTACTATATCTACTAATCTGCTAGCCTGTCTTCTTATACTTAAGGTAATTTAATATAAAAGGCTATAAGTATCTTATAAAGCTTAAATATTACCTCTTAATATATAAACTAAAATAACTAAAACTAGCTCCTTAAGGAGTTATAAGATAGCTGCTATTATATCTGCTATCTTAATTAGTATCTATTTCGCCTTTATATCCTTATTTACCTATAATATACTTTAAATTAGCTATTAGCCCTCTTTCTAAACTATAAGGACTATCTTAACCTATCTAGGGTGCCTTATAGAGACTATTAGTAACTTACTATCCTTTTAGTATACTTAGGGCTCTTAAATTGCTATTATTATATAATCTTAAAGTTACTTATTATTTATAAGGCTTTTATATACTATATCCTGCTTTTTTATATTTAGTTAAATTACCTATAATAACTTACTTATATTGCCTAAGGTAAAGTTTTAGGCAATTTCTATTAAATAACTTATATAAACTGCTATAAAAAGTATACTTAAGTATTTATACCTAATACTTACTATAATAGTAGCCTATAATAATATACCTTATATATACTTAAGTCTTATTATATAAGAAAGCCTTATAACTAAGCTTTTAATAATTATAATATTATTTTAATCTAGTAATTTACTTAAATATATTTATATATATTAATTTACCTATAATAAGAAAGTAATATTCTTATAATAGCCTTTTAGTATTATTACTTTTAATTAAGTAAATTACTATAAATCTATATAACTTAAAGTTAACCTTTTAGCTTAGCTAGGCTACTTTAGTAATTTAAACTTTATTTTCCTAATTTAAGGCTTTTATTACTTTAAGGAGGATATTAAACTCCTAGTTAAAGATAGCTATATAATTTATATTATTAACTTTAATAAGATATAATTAATCTTAAAGGACTTTTATATTTAAAGCTTTTCTAGTTTTAAGAATAGTTTTAATCTTTTATATTTTTTCTTTATTCTTACTTATAATCTTAAGGCAGTTAATATTTTAACTATCTCTAATTATTATAATATATTATTAATAAGGTTAATTACTTAACTATTATATTTCTTACTTTATAGTTTTATAAATTATTATTAATATAGCCTTTTTAAAATAGTTTTTAAAAACTTTAAATATATTAATTATATAAAATACTAGTTTTAAAGTTACTAATTAGGCTATAAATAAAGATAGATTAAATATATTAGTAAATATTATTCTAGCTATATTTATATATAATTAAACTAATAACTATAATATTTTAATCTTATTTAGCATATCTAGCTATAGTTAAGTCTGCTTTAGCTTATTATAAACCTAAATAAGCTAGTTTTAGACTTATAATAATTCTTATATTATTTAGGCTATAGCCTTAATAACTTCCTTAGCTATATAATTACTAAGCTTAATAAACTTAAGCTAAAATTCGGCCTTTATTACTTTAATTTTCTTATTTAAGTCTTACTCTAGTAGTTACTTTAAGCTTTAAACTACCTTAACTATATTATTAGCTAACTTAAAGATAGCTTACTTTTAAGCTTAGTTTTATCTTAAAGCTCCTTTATTAGTCTTACCTTCCTCCTGCTATTTTATATTACTATTTTTCTACTCTATCTTTAATACCTTTATTATCCTAACCCTCTTTTACTACGGGCAATAATATCCCCTACCTAAATTATCTAGATTATCTCCTATAATAATAATAATATCTAATATAGGGTTTATAATACTAGATATCTACTAAAGGCCTAAATCTCTGCTAGGCAGTCTTTAGGTCTTTTAAAAGTAATAAATAAGATAAATAGAAGTTATTTTAAAAAGAAGATTGTTTTCTCCTACAGGAGCGAGATACGGTCCCCGACTCGACTGTTCTTGAATCCTTCCGTCTAACCATCCCTTTTCTAACTCTATACAGTCCCGGCCGAAATCAGAGGCCGCCTGGCTTTCTACGTAAAGTATCTGACCACGGACCAGGCCGTGCCTTATGTGGCTTACGACAGTGCACAGAGAGCCATATTAAGACTGTGATAATTAATTCCACCTGTTTGTGATGCCTGTCACTGTTGCATACTGTCATAAACAATGGCCGCTTATGGTCGTGAAAAGGTTGATTAATATCATCTTACAGCCTACGCAACGCGTCCAGAATAAAACCTTGTCCCTAAGCCTCGATATGACCATCCGAGACTCGTGTATGTGTCACCCACGAAAAGCACAGATTGGTAATCGTAAAGCAGCAGATGCAGGAATTAGCCACCAGAAAACACCTGGCACATCCGTTTCTAGTGGTCTCTATTATTGGATAATGAAATTACTTCAAAAGATCGAACTCATTCCATTGTCACGGTTGCGTTATCTCCACTATGTCCGTTGAAGAAAACCTTAAGAACATAACTCTCCCTGATCCACAGCCTATAACAACAGTGGTTCCTGAAATAGCTACTTGTCCGTGGCGACATTCAGGAGATAGCCAAAGTAAGTCCATTCCTGCCGTCTTAACCCATGTGCCGTCCCGAGAGGCGAGCGTTACGGCCTCCGAAGGTTGCAAGGATATGGGAGGCTCTGTACGAGATTCTAAGTCGCCAGTCAAGGTAAATACACCATGATCTGTGACGATGCCACGCTCATCGTCCATAAAAGAAAGAACATCTGCATAGACGTCTAACATAATGATGTCCTTGCATATTCCAGTCTCCACGTTCCAGATCCGTAGCGCGCTTTCATCTGAGGCCGATGCCAGCTTCGTCGAGTCGTGTGAGAACACCACCGAGTTCACCTGGTCGATATGGCCCTCTAGCACTCGCTCACACTCGCCCGTCTCCGCGTCCCATATCCGTGCCGTCATGTCGTTCGAGGCCGATGCCAGTTTGATCGAGTTGTGCGAGAACACCACCGATCTGACAATGCCCCCATGGCCCTCTGACCCTTGCCAATCGTCCGTCTCCGAGTCCCAGGTCAATACCTGCATCTCGCCCGAGGCCGATGCCACTATTTCTGAGTTGTGTGAGAATAGCGCCGAGTTGACCTTGCCACCATGGCCCTCCAGCAGATGTTCGCACTTTCCCGTCTTTAGGTCCCAGATCCGTACCGTCTTGTCCCTAGAGGCCGATGCCACGATTCTTAAGTTGTGCGAAAAGACCACGGCGTTTACTCGGCTGTGGCTCTCTAGTACCTGCTCGCAGTCGCCCGTCTCTGCATTCCAGATCCGTACCGTCTTATCCTTAAAGGCCGACGCCACCATTTTCGAGTCGTATGAGAACACCACCGAGTTAACAGAGCGGCTATGGCCCTCTAGAATTAATAGGCATACGTCCCAATTTTCTTAAACTTTCGGTAAAGTGCTTATCTATCTTAGAATAATATTTTCAAATATCTCCCTTACAATGCTCTTGTATAGGGCGAAAACCAGGGCAGAAGAATAGGTCTGCAACGGTGCTTTAGTAATTATATAAAAGTTGGCCTAAAGGAATCGAATTGCATCAGCCATAAAATTCAATAGGCTTAAATCTCTTCAGTCCTATCAAGAGTTAGTAAGGACGGTTTTAAAATACGCAAACTTTCTACCAGCTAATCCGCTATTAATTTAAGTAAGTCAAGATATTCTCTAGCTCGGCCTAGCAAGCTTAGCGCCTCCAGCTAGTAGAGGAAGTATATCGTCAGAAAATCATAGACCCTATCGACGTCATTATGTTTAGGATTGCCCTTTATCTAATAATAAACCTAATATATGTAAGCATATCGGAGCAGTAAAGGTATATATTCTTTAAGTTGCCGAACGCCTACTGCAGATCGACGTATACCTGGGAAAGGCAGACCGCATATATTCTTATGCAGCATGCCTTATATAACACGCAAGCAGTATTTTGCCAGCCTTTAGTAAGTAGCTTTCTTATCTACCCAGAACTTAACTATCTCTCTGTTCTCTAGATTAACGAGGTACTCTCGGAACGATAAATAGAGTAATCGCACTAGCAAGTTAAGGTTTTCCGGAACCTCCAAAACAGAATGCAATACCCTTAGCCTAGTCATTACCTTATTAATATAAACTTCAAGAAGTAGCGCTAAAGCATACATCGATAAAGGACTAGCTAGCATAATAATAATGCTAATAATAAGACAGAAGCTCTCGATAATGTCGCGTCTCTCACATCCTGACCTGTTAATAACTTATTGCTTCAGAACTAGTAAATAGGTCATATCAAGGTTTAAGGCATAACCGTTACTAGTGTGATAGAGTACACTCTGCAGAAGCTCATTAGGGCTACCGAGATATGAGTCGTTGACGAATCGGCAAAGGGTCGCAGCAAAAATAAAGAAAGGCACCGCCGCCATTATAAGCTTCTCGAGGTTAGATTCTCCAGGCCAGTGCACTAGTAGCTTTAGCTCTTCTTCTGCCACTTTATTAAACCTGTTGCAGATGTTAGTGAACTCATGGCGCAGAAAGACAGATATATCATGCTCAATAATCAATTGCGGGATTTTATGTAATACAAGATCTTGATGGGTATTGCCGATGGACGAAAAGCCAAGACATACAGGAAGTTCGGGTCTACTGGTAATAAGCACTCGAACACATAAAGAACCCGCGAAGCGTAGGCTAGAGAAAAGTTCAAGAAGGAGCTTAATATCAGCATCCATCTCGCACTCATCCAACGCATCGACAACAATAACAGCTATCGGTCGAGACAATGACGTTGCTGGTGCTTTTAACAGCGGCTCTCGAACAAGCTTCTCAAACTGCTCCCTCACGGCCTTGTCAATAATCGCTAGATCAGCATCAACTGCACTCTTAATAAACGGCGCAACCCCCGGCGTGCTCCAAGCCAATCGACGGGCCACCGTAGGTACAAACTTAGTCAGGTTCCCTCGGTCAGTCTCTCCTCCCTTGAAGAAGAAGCTGGCGCCGAGATCACCTCGCTTAGACCGTAAGCGAGCAACAGTTCGTGAGATGGTCGATTTTCCCATTCCAGCCATGCCATTCAGCCAGAATATTGTCTTCGACTTAGGGTCAGCTATCCAGCTATCGATTTCTTTAAGCAGCTCCTTGCGGGTATTAGGCAAGTATATCGGGTTATATTCTTCAGCATGGGAGTCGAATAAGGCTCCTTCTGCGATAGGCAGTGTGTCAAAGGCGACCTTATGGTCGACATCGAGAAGAATTAAGCTGAGAGACGACATTAGTCAGATCCATGGGAAACCAGGACAGCGGCACCAACGTTTAATCAACTTCCAAGGCTAAATAGATAGCATCGGTACACCGCTATAGGTCCTGAATCATTGACTGGACATCCTTGCTCTTGAATGGCCATTTTAAAGCCTCGAAGCCAATTTTAGCCTGCCCACTTCCCCTAGCAAGCTGCCTCTCGATACGCCTAAGCTAAGATTGACTGTTAACTGTTGCGAGATAGAGCGCATAAGATGCTTTAAGTCTTAAGCCATGCGGCCCACGTAATAGTTCGCAGGCGTTCACCGAAGCTAGATTAAGACGCGTGACTTCGTCCACCAGCCTTTTCTTGTCCTCTTTGGCATGTAATACATCCTGGGCGTATCGTACGCACCAGTCGATTACTTTAGCCGATATATCAACCACGCCGAGGACATTAGCCGCGATTCCAAGGCCCTCGAGTGCCATCTGCTCGGGTTGTTATCTTTGTTGTTGGCTCAGACTGCGCTGTAGCGAGCTTCGAGTTCCCATCATCACCAGGAGCGGGGTTGATGAGGCTTGATCTTGCGGTACACGTGACGCAACGCTATTAGCAAGACTGCAGAAGCCGTCGCAGATAGTCGCGTTGGCCAGCTGGAAGCTTTGAATTGTCGTTATTGTATGAGTAAGGAAAATATTTCGTTAGCACCACAATACTACAGTACGTTCTGAGGGGGAGGTTGGGTAGGTCTAAAATTACGGAGCATCCTTGCGTGACGTGTTAATGGTAAATTTGTATCCTGAGCATCTCCTGTTCACCTAATCACGGATAGCGAATGGTCTTATCGATTGCTTATCGATAAAAGCGTCTGTGTGACGGAAGGTTATTAAAAGAAAGTGGGTCTGCTCTTTGCTTTTGGCCTTTCTGTGAAAGAAGGGCCCGTCAAAAGAGGGACAAAGGAGTCAAAGGCCATAGGCCTGCATAATTCACGCAGATCGCGCTGACCAGCAGTAATCAAAAGTTATAATGCGTTACAATACAATACAATACAAGTCTATTACGCCCGGTAGGCCTACGCCCAAAGGGCTCTGAAGCTAAGATTACATACACTTCGCTAGTTATTGCCTTGCTCTCGTCAAGCCCAGACGATTCTCGCCTTGTTCCTTCTAGTCCAGACAACGCTCTTCCCCTTGGTCCTCCTTGGTGTTAGTAATAGCAGGTCAACTTGAAGCGCAGTTCCTCTAAGTGTTTAGTTTCCTATCTTCGGCGGCTGAAGCGGTGCCTGCTGTTGACTACTTGGGGGCGTTAGGTATTATTGGTTAGTGTTGATAAAATGTTGCTAGGTTAGCGGTATTCCTGTCATCTCTGTTCTAGGCGACCTGTAGCGATCGCGAACCTGACTGTAGCTCGTACCGCATCCATGTTCGGTGTCCATTTCTGACCGTCTGATGCTGCCTTGCCTCCTAGGTGAAAGGAGAGGTTGCCGCGTTTTTCTTCCGTACATTCTAGCATGTCTCTACGGCATGTCGTCCATTTTACGCAACGGAAGAGGAAATGCTCTACCGTTTCTTTTGCACGCCCACACGGGCACTCATCCGACGGTGCTGCCCTGATCTGATATAGATAACCATTCAACCGCGCCATTCCGGCTACGAAAGCATGGAGGCTGTGTCGAGGTAATCCTCGAGTTCTCTCCAAGCCAGGCTGGCAAGACCTAGATAACGATACCAGGGTCGACTTATGGCGCTTTGTAGTCGTCACGCGTACGCCCTGGTCATGCGATCGCAGTTTGCACCTTAAGCCCGCCGCAGATAGCACTTCTAGGGATGACATCGCGCCGCAGCGCCTCAGGTGCAAGCTAAGCCTAGATCCCGTCCTCTTGGCCGACCGACATACACGTCCGTCCTCTCCGGCCAGTGTACAGACTCCTTAAAGACATCGACAGACGACCAGCAGTGCCCCTAGCACTGGCCTAGTTGCGAGCCGGACTCGATCCTTCCTCTGGTCCCCATACACTGCCACGGCCCACCGGGTTATCCGGGCTCGACCCCAGGCGCGACTTCCCGTTACAAGCAGAAGTCTCCTTCAGCCTGCCGACCATGTCTCGCAGCCAAGGCTCTATCTACCACCACCCAGCCGGCGTGCTGGAAGAGTTGACCTTATCCACTAACCAACCCAGCCTCCTTGTATATGCCATGCATGCGGTGCGCTGTAGCCTTGCAGCCCGATCGTTAGGTGTTCCATAACCACTTCGGTCTTAACGACTCCTTCAACAATCTATTAATAACTTCCATTATATACAGGATGAACACTTAGGGAAGGGGATCCGCGCCCTCGCGGTGTGCACTGCGGCCCTTTGGTATCACATTCTAATGCCACTGTCTCAGAGCCGGTCTAGGTCCGAGGGTGCCCTGTCTTCTGTAGCTGCCAAAACGGCAGGAAGTTAGGTGGTTTTCATAACCAGTTCCCTCGATCGGTTTAATAACCGCATAGGCGCGCCTGCTCCCTCGTGCATATTGTGGTGTTTGGTGGTAGAGTCGGTAATGCATCGTCAACGCGCGCGATCCAGATGACAATAATATAAATACTGCCGCACCACAATAACGCTTTTATCACAACGTATACGCTATGAGAGAGCAATCCGTACAGTCCCTAGGCACCTCCTAAAGGGACTTTAAGTAGGTTTTCCATGTTGCCTGCGTTTCCTTTCAAAAACGCGCCTCGGATGAACCGAGGAGGTTCCCCATTTCTACTACAATTGATATTGTTATTAGCTACTAGGCTTAACTGCTGTTCTCCGCTTATATTTCCATTGCACTCCCTCACTTAAACCCGGGCATACTGGAATGCACGGACCAACTTGGGGAAGATGATTCGCCAATTGCTATTCACTTTTAACCACGCTGCATGCAATCGACTGAATTTCAAACTGATCGCAACATCGCAATACTTGGTTTCTGTGGCTAAAATTCAAAATTCGATATGTCCTGGTAATTCCAAATTGATATATTATCTGAAAAGTCATTTTTTCCAACTTTTGATGATGGCGACCTGTATCCGTTAGGGGCAATGGATTCAGGTCCCTGTCTTCATTAGCGTGGTTTTATTTTGTATGTATTTTCCATTGGATTTAGAGCTGTATCCGCCGCGCAGCTAGGATAGGTCCCTGTCTTTATTAGCGTGGTTTTAGTTTGTATGTGTTTTCCATTGAATTCAGACCTGTATTCGCCATGCAGCTAGGATAGGCTTTGGTAGGGGTATCTCCTTGTCATTTAAAAATTTATAAATAAGTCCGCTTCCCCCACCTGCCTAACAAGAGCATCATATATATAAACAGCACTGACTCTTGCTGTTCCGATTATCTCCTCACAGACGACGCCGACCTCGGTGATAACGTGGATGATTGCCGATAGTAATGCTGCCATATATACAGCTCGCTTTCATCAATCATATTATAACATCTATGATCTCTATGATCCTTGATGGCTGGCCATGCGGAGAAGCGAAGCCCACTATTCTGCTGCAGTCTCGTAGTCGTATTATACGACGTATCCTGAGATGATGCCACGGTATATATAATGGGAAAAATTATATAAGTCACCTTAATTACAGATTAGCAACTTTAGTTTTTATACCCCAGGGTACAAAGATATTATATGAATAATATAATATAATGCATTTACTCAGAGACTTGACTTAGTAGACATCGATTTATACCCCAGGGTTAAAAATTATAGCCCACCGTTTCTAAATAATATAATTACCTCTTAGTTTATACCCTGGGGTTAAACATTATAGGCCACCTTTTCTAAATAATAACCTCTTGGTTTGTACCCCAGGGTTGAAAATTATTGGCTACCTTTTCTAAATAATATAATCTCTTGGTTTGTACCCTAGGGTTGAAAACTTCTAGTTCTACTTACTTCACGCAAATGTCAAAAGCCATTTATTTTTACTCTATTGGCCTACCTTGTAACCTATCCTTACGCCACAACCTAAGGCTAACCCTACTTCTAAAACGCCTGGGAGTAAAGGTCATAAGGAATTAGCCCAAGGCCTATATCAGGCAGCCAAGGAAGCAGCTAAGAAGATCCTAAAGGATATTACTAGCTTTTTTACTTCTTACCCCTCTCTATCTACCCCTCAAGCCTAAGGGAAATTAGCAAAAGAGGTCTTTAAAGAGATAAACGAAGCTAAGCTAGAAGCCTTCCTCTAAGACCTCCCTATATCTAATAAGCAAGCAAGGCTAGAAAATGCTAGCTATCTAGGCCGCAAGTAGCTTAGAGTCTTACCTACACAAAAACCCTACTCTTTTACAGACTCTAAGACTACCGAAGCCCTTAGAAGCAGGCTTTTCTACCTTATAAAGCCTCTAGACCTGCCCTGTAGTACTTGTGGTGCTATAGCTAACCTAGGTTATAAGGATACTTATAAGGGAGCTAGCAGAAGGTGGATTGCAAGGCATAATGCAGTTAATAGGGCCTTTATAAAAGCCCTAGGCAGCCGGCCTGACCTCGAGGTTAAGATCGAACCTCTAGTCTAGCAAGACTCCTCCCTCCGGGCTGACTTTGCAGTCACTATTAGAAATAGCCGCTACTTCTATAATATCCAAATCATAGCTATCTCTAAGGACTCTGTAAGAGAAGACCCTTATAGCACCCTGAAGGAAGCTGCTGATAAGAAATGGCGGAAATATCAGTCTCTTAGAGCCTTCTTCCACCCTCTTATCTTCTCAGCAGGCGGCCTTATGAATCAGGAGACCTCACAGACCTATAAACAGCTTCAAGAGCTCTTAGGTCCCTTTGCAGCCTCTCAGCTTGACTCAACTATAGGTCTAGCCTTAACCAAGACTAGGGCTATCTCAGCTGCCTCTATAGCTCGAGATCTACCTAGGAAAACCCATTCCTAGATAGCCATTCCCTATCTCCCTTCTTTATCTTCTTTCTCTATCTTCTTTTCTTTCTTAGTCTTTCCTGCCTTATCTTGCTTTCTATCTTTCCTATCTATATCTCTTTATATCTTTTTTCCTCTTATATATCTCTTTTATATCTATATATCTCTCTTATATCTATATCTCTCTCTCTCTTACTCTCTCTCTCTTATCTCTCTTAGTATCTCTTATCTCTTTCCTTTCTTTTTTATATCTATTTCTCTTTTATAACTCTAGGAAATCCTTATATAAATAGCACCAGAGCAAAATAGCTTCCATAGCCTAATATAACCCTATCCCAACCCTATTCCAGCGTGTGAACCAATATTGTGGTGTTGTTGCGTTGAGTAAAGCTTTGACAAACTCCCCAGATGTAAAGGCCATAACCCGGAACCCGAAGCTTAACATTGATTATTGATGGATTTCATGCTCACATGGAAAGTAATACCCTGCCTAGAAGTTTCCCAACTGGCCAACGAAGGCCAGCATCTACGCCCCTAAACGCGAGATCAACTTTCAGACTAATTCCGTATGTCTGTGTGCTCCCATTCCATCGTGTGCGTATGGTTTACTCCTCCTCAGTACTGCTATCCCTCAAGTGAAGGATCCTCTGCCACTTGTCAGGCATGTCTACTCCAAGTCTTTCATAATGCTCGATAATATATCGTTCTTGTCCCCGCACTACTTCAAAGAAAACCTCCAGTGGTATATCCTGATACCTATCGCGTCCTCTGGTACGCCCAAAGTGGGGATGTATTAAGTTTGGGTCCATTGTAGTGAGCGCTCTCGTATCAACCAGGTTATCAACGTAGTTTATCAAGGTTTCCCTCGCTTGGCGAGCCCTTTCCTTATTTAGTATAGATATCGCTGAAGGGTTGATTTGAGTGATTACGTATTGGAAGTACGCATCTTTACTTTCTTGACTGCTATGATACGCTTCACGTTGTCCATTGCCGTAATGACGCAGCGGTCCTATCGACTTGTAGTATGGAGGGTCTGATTTGTTGGTTCTGGCGATTGGCTTAACCTGCCGGCCCGGAAAGATTTGGTGAAGAACCGTCGCTATGAAAAACTCCAATCCGGGAATACGGATGACCGTGCCTTGTAGGAAGCCAAGATTCGTCATGATCGTAAGGCTTGGGGGATCCAGGAAACTTGGGAGAGGCATGCCATCTGGATTTTCAGAACGCACTACCAGGACTATTAATTTCCTGAAGATATTCCAGTCAACTAGGGGTATTGGTCGAGGCCCACGGCTTTGGGAACTGTCTGTCTCAGCGCAGATGATTTGATGGACCTGTGGTCGCTTATCTTTCCGTCCGAGGAGCTGTAGGTCCCGCCCTATTACTGGCGTAAGAACAACCCTTGCTGCAAAGAACCCCCTTGACATCCCCCAATGAATCTGAAGATCAAAATATGGGTACAGAATCTTCCGAAAGCCTTGGTCAAGACCTAGGATAACCTCAGAAGGATGCTGTATGCTCGGGCAACTGTATAACGCCGCAAGAAGGGCATTGCAGAATGACTCCGAATCTTGAGTGAATCTTTCAATCGATTCAGGGCTATGCACTCGCTGTGAGAACCCCTGGGCTAGGATAGGAAACTCGTTGTCGAGTACCCCGACAATCTTCCCGCCTACGTCGGATTGGCACTTTCTGCCGGTATCGCCGGCATCCACCATTGTTTTGATCATCTCACCTAAGTCGCAACGATAGGCAATTATTAGCCGCTTTTTTGGACTATCAGCAATGTATGCTGGCAAATCATCCAGGATAAGATCTCGGATAGTATCGACCACGGTGTATTCGTCGAAAATGTCTCTCTTGAGGCAGTTGACTAGCAACCCCAATGAAATGTAATCTCCGTTCCTGATACAAATTTGCAGGGCATCCTCTCCGTTCTCGGCTTTTTCTAGAAGTGCGACAGGATCGTTGAAAATAGAGAGAATTGGTCGCCAACACCGTCTTTTGTTGAAGTTATCGAAACCTTTACAGGCCTCAGCTGTTGCGGTGATCAAGGTGTGCTTCTCCAAAGTCCAATTGCGAACTTGAAACTCGGGATTTGAGAGATTTGATCTAAGGCTGAAATCCAGTGAAGGCTGGAGCCTGCCAAACATGCGCCGTTTAATGACAAAGCGATTACTTTCGGTTTCCATCTTAACCTTTGTGGATCCTCCCTGTTGATGTCCTCTCATTGCCTCCTTCCTGGTGAAATGGAGATATTCTAAAACGAATTCGAGCTGATTCGGGAGACAGGTCCTGCTATCCTCGAATATTTGGGATAACAGCGACACCGGCCCAACCTCAATCGTCGCTCCATGTTCGAGATAGTGTCGGGCCAATGGAAACTCCGCGTTAGCTATAGCTCCGTAGAGAGGCGTATAGTTATCCTCGTCTGGTCTGTTGAGCCCGACATACCACCCTTTGATTTCGCAGATGATGTGGTGAGTTAAGCCGTGGTCGTTCAAATCCGGCAGAGACGGTACCAAGGACTCATTGACCACCGGTCGCTTGAGAATATCGTCCGCGATCTGAACAGCATCGCTCCCGGCTAGGCTACAAAAGTGAAGCGAGCATTTCGTCTCGTCCCATGCGTGCCCTGCCTCGAAGGTCTGTTTATTCAGCCGATTGACAAGGTTCTCGTCCCATCTGCCCGGGCGGCCACGAGAGTAAATACTCCAAGCCCATTTATTGGGCAGAAGTGCCAAGGCTCCATGGTCCCGTAACCTGGAGGTAATGTGAATGTGCCCCCTAGACACAGCAGCCTCGAGACTCCTTTGCATGTCGGCTAGAACAGCTTTTGTTGGGTCGGAGTAATATTTCTCCAGGATCGCCTCCAGCCACGCAAGATCGCCGCCCTCCGCTGCGTATTCGAGGCTTGATCGCCCATGCGAGACTAAATAACATGGGCCGAGATAAGACGACAGGACCTCCAAAGTGCGACTTATGCGGGCTCTGTACAGGTCGCCATGAATCTTGACTCGTTCCATAACCGACAAACCTCCGATCGCCTCTTCCCAGAGCTCGAGTACCTCGTTCTCGTCCGGGTCACTTCTGGAAGGCTCCGCAGTCCAATACGGAAGCATCACCTCCAGGCACTCGTCTTCCAACATTGAGGCAGCGAGTGAGAGGGGAGAAAGCCCTAGTTTTGCGTACGCACTCCCCTCTGCCATGGACACTTCAGCCCCAAGTCGGACAAGGCACGAAACAGCGGGGATGTTTCGATTTGCAACTGCCCGGAGCAAAGGCGTGGGGAAAATGCGCGGATTTGAAAACAATTGGTGGTCGAGACCTTCAGGTCGATTTGCAAACTTCTCCACATCAGCTTCAGCTTCATGAAGAAGCACTGCGATAGCCTCAACGATGATCGGGTTATCAGCTGGAATCTTATAGAGCCAATGGATGGGAGTCTCGCCGTATGTATTCGTGATGGAGACAGATGCATTGTGATCTTTGAGCAGCTGGTACACCATTGGGAAATTTGCCGACTGAAATGCAAGACTGAGCAACGTATCTCCTTCAATATTCCGAGCATTGACGTTCAGTCGCCTGACCGGGAGGCCTAATACAACGCGTGCTGCTGCGTTGTTTTGTTCATCTGTGATCTGCTCCTCTTGAAAGCGGCGAATGAGAGCCCTAGTAAACTTCTCTTGGAACTCGCTGTATGGGGATTGCGAGCTATTCCAGGAGAGAGCGGTATGTCCAGTGAGCAATGCCAAAGCGGTTCCAGTTGTGTACAGGGCAGGCCGCTTCATCTTGGTTTTCAAAAACCGGTGGATACTCAGAGCCGTGGAGCATGCTTCGACACCTCCTGCAGAAGCACTTAAGTCGAGGTAGGTGAGAATTGACTGGCGATTGGCATCTGATTGATCGCCTGCTAGGAGCTTCCAGAGGTAGTATTTAGCAAGACATGACCCTAGGTGTTGAGCAAGAACAGTGTCCCAGTGACTAAGAACACTCAAGCCCTGGAAGGAAGGGCTGTGGTGAAGGGTGACAAAGAACCGTTCAAAAATGGAAGAGTACAGTTCTCTTTCTCGAGGACATGCAGTATGGAATTCAAGACTAGTACTCAGAGCCTTTTAAAGTTAGCCGATCGAAGTGTTGACGGTGAGTAAAGCACTAATTGCATAAAACATGCCTGTTTGACTTTATAATCCCACTTTATTTCGGAGATCATGATGCGACCTTGTTCGTATCGTTTCCTACGCTAGGTTAGCACGGGGTCGCATCTGTGCTGAACATCACCTACCCCAGCAGGATCGCGATACTACCTAAGTGACGGTGCATAGGACAACTACTCAGACAAATTTGGAGTAGTGACAGAATGGTGGCAATTTCTGAGCCAGAAATTTCGCGCGACCCCCATAGGGGGTTGTGCGTCCCATGCATCTGACTCAGGGAGTCGGCAGCCATCGCGATCAGGAGAGCGTTGACTGAGTCCCTCGGCGGGTCGTAGTTTTCCATAGACATTTCGGTACCGTTGTTAAGGCGGGAAAACTCGTCTAAGCTGGTTGATATGTCGTACACCGCGGCTATGTCATGGTGTCTACCAGTCTTCAGCTGTTGGATTTCAAACCCATCAAGAGTCTGTCCGTCTGCAAACCGTGGACTGAAGAACGGCATAGCGCCACCAAGCAACGTTTGCCATGCCACAATTCCAAACGAATATACATCCGTAAACTTTAAATGACCCTTCGCAATTGGTCTCGACGCTTCCGGGGCCAGATAAATATCCGTCCCTCCAGGAAGACATTGGAAGTCTGGCCCGCAGTCCGGGTCAATAATTGACAAGCCGAAGTCGCAGAGCTTAGCTATGATCCTGTGGGTGGTATCTCCGAAGACCAGGATATTCTGCGGCTTAACGTCTCCGTGTATCACATTAGAAGCATGCAAGGCTCTTAAACCCTCGCAAACGTCAGTCAGAAGAGTCAACTTTTGCTCATACGAGGAAAGGAATTCCGAGGAATAGAAGAGATCCTCTAGTGTTCCGTACGGTGCGTGCTCGAGGGCGATGACGGGAGCGAGGGTTGGCTCTTGTCGGGCGTCGTCGATAACCGTTTCCCATCCGAGGCCGAGAAGCTTGACAACATTTCTCTTGTGTTCTTCAGAGACGTGATAGGTCATATGATGAGTGACGACAAGGTCCTTCATGAAGTCCAGCCACGCATGCCGGGGAGCATTGTGATTCAGTCTTTTGTACACCGCATCGCTCACAGTCCTTCCGCCGGTATCAATCCGAACCTGCTGCCAGGGGACTTGCGTAACCCGGAACGAAAGCCCGTTTCTTAGATATTTAGGTCGCTCCGATGTGCATGCCGGAGCCATTACGTCGATGGCAAGTTCTTTATGGCTATGGAGTGCCTCGAGGACCATGGCAATTGCTAGAGGACCGACATCTGAGACGAAAGGGAAATCGGTCGGGTTGTTCGATAAACACTTGGTGCAATGGCTTGAGGCTGGAGACTGAGGCGAGTCTTTGACTGAGGATCGAACTGGTTGTAGTTGGTTAGAAATATTGATGTCCTGCCATGCTGGCCGTACTCATACCTTCATATTCAGAGATTGCTGATTTTGATTGACTTGTAGTGGTTGTTGTATCATTGTCTTGTTGATTTGTATGAGCGACAGGCTCCGAATTGCAGGTGAAGTGGCTTTTGACATTCAATTGGCAAAGGCTGTCTGTCTCATCATTTTCTTGATTCGAAGTTTTTTGAGAATACTGAGATGGAATATCAATCAGGGAAGAGCGTGACTCCCAAGAGCGATTAGTCGCCAAAGATTCCCTTGGCCGTGCCGCATCTGGCCAGCAATCATGACCAGTGCTCACGGTTATGCTTTGAGGGCGGCCTTGTGTGTGAGGACACGTAGTTAGCCCAGAGGGACGGACCTCTTTCAGAGCATCTACCCAGCTATGCTGTTTATTGTTAGAGCAATGCATTTTCGTCCTGGAAATAGGATTCCGACGTACCTCTCGCGCCAAATCCCACATCTGAGGAACCTCTGTTCTATGTTCAAGCAAGAGATCTCCAACAATATCCAAAAACTTTCTTGTTGATCCTACATCATCACCATACTCATGGCTAAAATCCATAACCACTTCTTCGATCTCAGTCATTTTTGATGAGCTGTTGTCCATGAATCAATAGAGAAGAATAATGGAAGCGTCAAGGCCGATAAATAGCGTGATGAAGATGGCGTTAAGAAGGGGCTTGAACAATTATATAAGGAGTTAGTACTTTGATTATTAACATGGGGAACCAATACACTTTCGGTAGCAGAGGGAGCAAATCGAGGGGAGGTGCCAAGGCTCAAGGCACTCGATTCTTGGTACGAAGAAGGGTACAACGGCCCGGGCAGGGTGCCAGGAAGGATCTAGGGCCACCCCCAGTGAAATATGAAGGTATCCCTGTTTCTTAGGCATAATTCTGTCTTGGAGGTGTTGTAAATAGTAGTCACGCACCTTAAAAGGGATACAGAATTGTCATTTATCCCTACTCCAAGTAACAATGTTAATCTACATCAAAAGTGGCACATTCAGCTCTGACAAGAGGGTGGCATAAGTGCCAGGGCTGCGACCTATCAAACCAAAGTAAAATGACGCAGCTCCGTCGGTGTGCGGCAAGCAAAAAGTGAGGCGGGCACATTCTTTACCAAGGGCAGTTATCACTAGTTATACAGTAATCTCTTATCATACGCTCGTTCCTGGTGTCTCTATGATTGGCTCACTTAATTACTAAGTTATATGTATAGCCTGTTATTAGCTGTAGGTCTCTCTATACAGTATACTCTCACTGTGCATACAGTCAAGTTACAGAGAAGTAGGTCCCTTCTCGATTGAAAATGGCCCCTACTTATGCCCATAACTATAGTACAAAGGAAAGCGAGACACAAGGCGTATTATTAAAAAACAATCTTTATTTTAAATAACTTCTATTTATCCTATTTATTACTTTTATAAGACTTAAGGACTGCCTGGCAGAGATTTAGGCCCTTAGTAGATATCTAGTATTATAAACCCTGTATTAGATATTATTATTATTATAGGAGATAATCTAGATAGTTTAGGCAGGGGATATTATTGCCCTTAATAAAAGAAGGTTAGGATAATAAAGGTATTAAAGATAGAGTAGAAAAATAGTAATATAAAATAGCAGGAGGAAGGTAAGACTAATAAAGGAGCTTTAAGATAAAACTAAGCTTAAAAGTAAGCTATCTTTAAGTTAGCTAATAATATAGTTAAGGTAGTTTAAAGCTTAAAGTAACTACTAGAGTAAGACTTAAATAAGAAAATTAAAGTAATAAAGGCCGAATTTTAGCTTAAGTTTATTAAGCTTAGTAATTATATAGCTAAGGAAGTTATTAAGGCTATAGCCTAAATAATATAAGAATTATTATAAGTCTAAAACTAGCTTATTTAGGTTTATAATAAGCTAAAGCAGACTTAACTATAGCTAGATATGCTAAATAAGATTAAAATATTATAGTTATTAGTTTAATTATATATAAATATAGCTAGAATAATATTTACTAATATATTTAATCTATCTTTATTTATAGCCTAATTAGTAACTTTAAAACTAGTATTTTATATAATTAATATATTTAAAGTTTTTAAAAACTATTTTAAAAAGGCTATATTAATAATAATTTATAAAACTATAAAGTAAGAAATATAATAGTTAAGTAATTAACCTTATTAATAATATATTATAATAATTAGAGATAGTTAAAATATTAACTGCCTTAAGATTATAAGTAAGAATAAAGAAAAAATATAAAAGATTAAAACTATTCTTAAAACTAGAAAAGCTTTAAATATAAAAGTCCTTTAAGATTAATTATATCTTATTAAAGTTAATAATATAAATTATATAGCTATCTTTAACTAGGAGTTTAATATCCTCCTTAAAGTAATAAAAGCCTTAAATTAGGAAAATAAAGTTTAAATTACTAAAGTAGCCTAGCTAAGCTAAAAGGTTAACTTTAAGTTATATAGATTTATAGTAATTTACTTAATTAAAAGTAATAATACTAAAAGGCTATTATAAGAATATTACTTTCTTATTATAGGTAAATTAATATATATAAATATATTTAAGTAAATTACTAGATTAAAATAATATTATAATTATTAAAAGCTTAGTTATAAGGCTTTCTTATATAATAAGACTTAAGTATATATAAGGTATATTATTATAGGCTACTATTATAGTAAGTATTAGGTATAAATACTTAAGTATACTTTTTATAGCAGTTTATATAAGTTATTTAATAGAAATTGCCTAAAACTTTACCTTAGGCAATATAAGTAAGTTATTATAGGTAATTTAACTAAATATAAAAAAGCAGGATATAGTATATAAAAGCCTTATAAATAATAAGTAACTTTAAGATTATATAATAATAGCAATTTAAGAGCCCTAAGTATACTAAAAGGATAGTAAGTTACTAATAGTCTCTATAAGGCACCCTAGATAGGTTAAGATAGTCCTTATAGTTTAGAAAGAGGGCTAATAGCTAATTTAAAGTATATTATAGGTAAATAAGGATATAAAGGCGAAATAGATACTAATTAAGATAGCAGATATAATAGCAGCTATCTTATAACTCCTTAAGGAGCTAGTTTTAGTTATTTTAGTTTATATATTAAGAGGTAATATTTAAGCTTTATAAGATACTTATAGCCTTTTATATTAAATTACCTTAAGTATAAGAAGACAGGCTAGCAGATTAGTAGATATAGTAATTATTAAAGACTTTAATTAATATAACTAATTATAAGGAAGAAATAAGATATCCTTAATAAGGTAAGGTAAAGTAAATTAAATTATTAGCCTTATAATTAAGTTTAATTTAATAAGCCTGCTTTTAAGAGAAATAAAAATATAAAGTAATAAAGATTTTAAAATAATAATTAACTTAATCCTTATTTTAGTAAACCTAGTATCTTTAACTATTAAGTATATAATATATAGCATAAAGTATAAATCTAATTATTATATTATTAAGATAGAGTTTAATATCTTTATTCTAATACTATAAGCCTAGGAGCGACTTTTACTTAAAAATGTATTATAAAAGGAGATTAATACTTAGATTACTAAGGCATTAAAGTCTATTTTAAAATAAGGCATTATATAATAAAAGACTAATAGGCTTATAATAATAATATTAATAGCAATTTATATATTAATACCTAGAGCTAAGTTATTACTATATATAAAGTGTTAATAGACTTTAGACTTTATATAACTTTAGTAAATATATATATATTAAAGGAATTATATTAAAGCTTTAAGATATATAAGATAAATATATAAGGAGCTTAAAGATATAATAAGAGGAGTAGTAAAGTAGTATTATAATACTATTAAATAGTAAAAAAAGATATATTAAAATAAGTTTTTAGTTAATAATAATAATATATAAAAGGTAATAAAATATCTTAAGTCTAAAGATAATATAGTATTTAGAAAAGTACCTTAACTTATAAGGGTTAATAGTATATATATAAATAATAATATTAAATAGGCTAAGGAAATATTAATAACTTTCTTTTTTTTATTATTATAATATATTAAAGAAAAAGGAAATTAACCTTAATATAGATCTACTATTATTATATTAAATATTATTATAAAGGAGGTAAAGTAATAGCTTTTTATAATAAAATTATAAAAAGTACTTAATAAAGATAGGCTACTTATTATAATTTAGAAATAAATCTAGCCTTTTATTAAGTATTAAGTCTTCTTGCTTTTTTATACTTTATTAAAAGATAGGGTATTACTAGATTAATAGAGATATATTAAAATTATTTCTTTAAAGAAACTAAATAAGGAAAACTATTTAATTATAAAGGCATAAAGGCCTATCTTACTTCTACCTACCTTAGGTAAAATACTAAAGGCAGTTATTATAAAAAGGATTTTATATACTATTAAAATATATAAATTATTGCTACTAAATTACTTTAGAGCTTATAAATAATATTCTGCTAAATAGGTATTAATACTACTATAAAAGCAGATCTATACTGCCTAATAAGGTTAATAAATCCTTAGTTTAGTAAGCTTTAATATTAAAGGAGCTTATAATAAGGTATATAAAGAGAGACTTATTTAAAGACTAAAAGTAAGAGGTATACTAAAGAATTTACTTTACTAAATTAAAGCTTTTTACTTAAATTATATAATAACTATTTAGGTTAATAAATAGATATTTAAAAAGTAAGAGTTATTATAAGCTAGGTTACTATAAGGCTCCTTTCTATCCTTAATCCTATTTCTCTTTTTTAATATAGACCTTATTTAATAATATATTAATTATTATAAGGGAGTAATAGTATTTATAAATAACTTTACTACCTAAGTAATAGGTTTAATTATAAAAAGTAACTGCAATAAGATTAAAAAGATTATTAAAAAAGCTCTAGATTAAGAAAGGAAAAGTAGTATAATATTTAAGATAAAAAAGATAGTAATTATATACTTTATGCAGAAAGAATATAAGTTTAATATAAAGCCCTTTATAATTAGGAGATAGCTTGTTTAGCCTAAGACTTAGGTTAAGGTTTTAGGAATAATTATAAATACCGGCCTTAAATATAAAGAGTATATTATACAGGCAGTAGCTAAGGGATTAAATGCTATAATAAAGCTATAAAGGCTTAGGGGTCTTACTCTAAGAATAGCAAGGCAGTTATTTACAGCTATAGTAGCCCTAGTTATAAACTATGCCTTAAATATATAGATATATATATATATAAGTATAAAAGAGCTAGCCTTATTAACTAGGTTTAAAAAATTAAGGCAAATGCAATTATAGGGATATTCCTTATAATAGCAATAAGCATAGCAGAAATAGAGGTATATATTGCTAGTATATATAAATAGTTCTAGAAATAGGCTATTAAAATATAAATTAATCTATATACCCTTCTAATAACTAACTATCTTTAAAGCTTTATATTTTATATTTAAAAGTTTAAAAAATATAATTACTTACTATTTTATAAAGTAGTAATAATACTTAATAAGATCTTTATAAAAAAACTAAAAATAATTAACCCTTTTATATTAATACTTTAGGTAAAATAGGTATAAATTATAATAAATAATAAGGATAGTTTAAGGATAATATAAGTAGATATAAAATAGGCAGTATATACTATAATAAGCAATTTAGTGCAAAATAGGGTAATTAGAATTAATAGGGTTATTAAGATCCTTACCTTGGTATAAGGAGGACTAAAGCTTAAGCGCTTTTCCTTTATGCTTAGCATAAGGATAAAGTAAAACCTATTTTCTAAATAACTAATAGCAATAGCTTATATATTAAGATACTTACCTAACTTTAAATATTAAAGTATAGTACTATTAGTAAGTAATAAAGCTATTATGCTTATAATCTAAAACCCTTATTAGTAGTCTAGTTAAGAGTATATTAAATATATATATAATTCTATTAATATATTAAGGGTTAAAGGAAATATAGTAGCTATTATATAGATACCTACTAGTACTAAATATAGGCTCCTAAAAATGGCTAAAAAAGAGGCATAAAGTATAAGCCAAGACAGTACCATCCCGGCTTAAAAGTTTCCCTAAATGCAATTAATAACCCTAAATATAGCCTAATTAAGCCAGCATGCAAGCAAACAGTTACTAGATAATATTAGGAAGTTTTTAAAGAAGGTTAATACTGCGCTCCTAGGTAAGCACACTTAATTGCTCTATAATGGCTTATTATAAAGAGAAGCCAGTATGCTAGTATAACTTAAGACAGGTATAGCTAGATTAAATAGATACCTCTTTTAGATTAGCATAGCAGTATTATAGCAATATATATGCAGATAAGTAATAGAGATAGTAAAGCACTTTTTCTTTTAATATAAGAAATAGATAGTATATAAGACTAAGATACTATAGTATATTAAGATATTAAGAGGGAACCTCTCGTTTTATTTAAGAAGAAAGTCACTATTAAATAATACTAAGTAAATACTAAATATATAAGTAGTTTATATAACTATATAATTTATAATAGCTATAGGATAACTTAATATATAATATTAAAGCTAGATTATAAGAACCTTACTTACTTATTCTTACTAACTTACTTATACCCTATATTAAATACCCTATATTATAGAGGCAGATGCCGCTTTAGCTGCTATAGATAAGATACTAGACACTTAAAGAACAGCCTTTAAGCTAGTTTGCCAGTAATACTACTAAAATATAAGAGAAGTAAGAAATAATAAAATAAAAAGGAAAAAAGTAATTAAGGTATAGGCACTATATAGGCTTAAGGATATAAATTTTAGATTAATAGTATATAAGTAAGGTTTAGTATAGGGCTTTAGGAAAATATAGATATAAATTAAGCAATATATGGCATAGCATGGACTTAGGGAAATAAGAATAAAAAGCAGGCGTTATATATAAGCATTAGTGACTAGTGCCCTTTCGGTTAGAATAGGCCGCCGGGCATAATAAATTATATTATATTATAGTATAAAGTCCCCTATCGGCCAAAATAAGCCGCCGGGCGTAATAAATTGTATTGTATTATATAGTACAAAGTCATTTCACCATCAAACCAGCTTTATGGCAGCAACTTGCCTAAAATCTCAATTCCGGAACAATGGCCGACGTCACTGGCATACTAGGCTTGGTAGCTTTGTTCAGTACCTGCCTAGAAGGGTACAGGCTGTGCCTTGATTTGACCAGCTCGTCTCAGGATGTGAAGTTGCTCAGGACGAAAATGTTTCTCCAGCGGGAGCGGTTCTTGAATGTTGGAAGAGCTTGTGGCCTTTTGACGAACGATGTAACAAAGCAGAGACCGGAAAGCCTCCGATTATTTCTTGTGCAAGATCCATTCCGTCAGCGAGCTGTCAGAGGCTTTGGAGCACATCGTATCACTGCTGTCCAAGGCACAGGCTCTAGACCGTCGATATTATCCCCAGGACGGGCTTCCAGAAATTCTCAAGGAAAAGGTATGAACACTCTCTATGAAAACTCAAATGCTTTTAATGCGCTCAAAGGCGAGGTTGCATATAATTTTTTCATCTTATTTGACGAAAGAGTACAATCTAATGCACATTACGGCAGACAATTTTAGATACTTTGAATGACAGTACTGCCCAGTTGCGCGTCTCTTTGCGAAAGTTCACCTGGACTGTGCGAGACAAGCAGGCATACGAACAGTTGATTAATCATTTGAAGGAATTTAATGAATGCCTCGAACGCATTTTCCCTGGCCCATTACAGCATTTCTTAGAGACAGCCTTACCAGCAACAGCGATTGTTGCTAACAAAGAGAATGATTTGCCGACTCTGGAGCAAGCCTCGACCAGTCATGCTGTTCTACTATCCCAAGTGCGATGGACCGGATTAGTCCATGGCCTCCAGGGAGTAAGCGTGGGAGATCAACTCAAAACGGGCGATATTGCAATACTGGGCTGCGAGAAGACCGCGAGCCGCTATGTAGCCCGCAGTAACTTTTCGCAAAGCCTTCTGCTTGTGGATTGGAACCCGCCGTCCGTCACGTCATCCGCCAAAGTAAACCAGATTCGCCTCGTTTCCGGTCTTTTGAGGGGAGAGAAACCCGACGGACTCCGAATTATTTCCTGCGTTGGGTACCTGGAACAAGATATCAAGAGCGACCAGGTTCGGTATGCTCTTGTTTACGAGTTGCCGTACTCCAACGCTACTAGTAATGAAGCATCACCTCCAAAACTCAAGTCGCTACTGCAGCTACTCGAATCGTACAGGACGGTTCTGTTCCCTCCGCTAGAAGCAAGAATTCAGCTGGCCCGAATCCTTTGTAGGGCGATCTTGCTGTATCATTCCTCTGGGTGGATCCATCACGATTTCCGTTCCTACAACATCATATTCACAGGAGTTCAGGCACTCAACAGTCAGCTAAATGATCCTAACGATATCATAGAATATCAAGGGCTAAGGATAGATCAGCCATACGTGGTGGGATTCGGCTTTGCACGCGACGAAGAAGCCACGTCTATTGCCTTCGCCGACAAAAGTTCCATCAGCCAAACCTTGAAGCAGCAGCGTCGTTATTGGTCTCCTGCTTACCTCACGAGCAGCAAAGAGAAGAGGACACGCCGTTCCTTCCAGCGCTCCCATGATATTTACTCTCTCGGGTGTGTTCTACTTGAGATTGGGGTATGGAGGCCACTTGGGAGCTATACTTGGGAATCTCAATACGAGACAGATCATGAGAAATGGTATGAGAGGCTTCTGAAAGAGGAAGGCAAGCTGAGAGCTCTATGTGGGTCACGATATGCAGAAATTGTGATGAGCTGTTTGAACTGTGGGACTTCAGATGTCCAAACAGACATACAAATGCTAGCATTTGATATATTATTGAAACTGGAGGAAATCATAGTTTGAACTACCCCATTAGGTCACATTCTAAATGACTGCCGCATCATGAGCTAGAGCCCTGCTCACTATTGTGATCATATCAGTCAATTGTAAATTTAAAAGGATGAGGTTCCATACTATGACGAAATGATATTAGCCAGATTGTAGCTATGGCATTTTCGTTCTCTTAGTGGTGATGCTCATCGTAGAACTTTTTGCTTAGAAGAGCTAACTAAGTCTTATAGTTACCTTAATACATCTGGAAGTGATTCGTAATCGAGGCCCCGTTTGCTTGCATAAAGACCCATACTTATTAATAGCCAGGGATAGGTTCTCTTTTAGGCCCAAGGCTGTCATAGCTCAGCATCGGGGTTAGTGCCCAGACGAGATCCAGCCCTCTTCATTTTCGGAATGTGTATAAGCTATTGCACCAGATAGGCTCTTGCTCAGCCTCTCACTCAGCAGCTACATCGGACAAACGCACAACAATACATGCGTTTCTTGCCACTTTTTGAGTGATTTCTAGCCAATGAAGCGTGCTTTTGAAGTGATGAGACTGTGACCGAGTCTTCATTGTCCAATATGCCGCCTTGGTTGGATCAAGCCTCTAGAGTATGCGAAACGCACACTCAGATCCAAGAGATACTTGTTGGGTGAGATTCTTTCTTCCATATATAATTATACTATGCTATACACCGTTCAATTTAATTAATTTTAATTCCATTTAATGACAATTCGCGTTTCGCAAATGGCATTAACGTTGCGCTTATCTGACTCTAAATTTAAGGTTGCGGGCTGCGATATTGGTGCTGATCTTAGTGCTTCAGTCAGGGGATAAAGCGGCAGTAACGCATGCTCCAGCAGCAATGCTGGTTCCTTCTCGGGGCCGGTCTGCTGGTGAATTATAAATGTGGTATATAAGTTAGTCAGCAGCCGATTAATACTGGCTGTACTCTCGGATCTAAAGGGATTGCCAGCAAAATGCTTGCAAATTAATAAGAAATCCGTCAAATGAGACAAGATGAGCGCCAATACGGACCTCGCGCCTGGCCTAATAAAAATTCACAGCAATCACCAATAAGCCTGCCAATGCGGCTCTTGAGGTTTACCATATTTTAATTAATCAAGCAAACAATTATCAATCATCTTGGGACCCGGAGCTTGACTCCAGTCATCGACGATTGAAATCACAGCCCATGTCGCGCCATTGGAGACTTGCTTACCACTCACTCCATGAAGATGCAGCAAGCAAGACCAGCTTAACATACTAGACACTTATTGGTAACCACTTGGTACTTTTACCGAGACAAGCCTGTGCATACAAATTGAGTCTTGATCTGATGAATTTAATTATCCAGAATTAGAGCTAGACTTATAGTCTGCTTGATCTCAAAATGAAGTCGTGCTGAACGTATTGAGCAGACTGAGCGGGGTGAAAAACAGAAAAGTAGTAATCGTGGATACGCTGTTGTGATCAGAGTCCCACTTAGCAATGGTCTGATCAACAATGCCAAGATCCATCAGGCTGTAATAACGGAATTACCTCCCTTCCCTGGACCCTGTGCCACATCAGATTATATCGCTTAAAACATTGAAAAGGTCATTTAGTTAACGATCAACGCTCAGGCCTCTTCGAGTATGATAATTAGTAGGATACCCCTGCAAACTTGCAGATAGCCACCTCAGCTTAATAGGGGCAATACGCAATACGGCTGGTAAAGTGCATAGCTGCGTTAGCATTACCGCAAGTTTGTATTCCAGGTAGTAATAGTTTAAGAACTTTTAAGCAAAACTAAGTTAAAAAACTGCTATATCTTGCAGGTTTATCTACTATATCGTCGCCATATATAGAGCAACTAGTTAGTATTTATTATAAGGCGAGAGAGAAAGCTTGGTTATAGCTAATACCTATAATGCAGTAGGACGTTTACTTCTTTAAGGGCGAATCGGCAATACAGATCATCTGGCCAGGACTTAGCAATCTCCGCGGAGCGGGCTGGTGTGCCTAACGACGACTTCATGCTGACATGGTAGGCAGATAAGCCTGTTACCTTACCTTACAACTGAGGAACGCATGACAGCCAATGATTGCCCATTCGCTCCCATTGTATTGACTTGCTAGCCTGTATTGTTTGGTTGTCGTAAGCGTTACTGCATGCCTGGATGTCCTGTGCACCAGTTAGGCGGTTGGCTGCCCTGTATAAGGGCTCGTATGTGTCTAAGTCTGCCTTGCTTATCCCATCAAACGGGCTGTTGTGGCTGCAGCCGGTTAAGCTGACTGCTTTTAAGCCTTCAGCAGGGTTTGCATTAAAACAGAAAACATTAATAGACTGAGCTTGTTTCCTCTTTCCCCTAAGAGCTCCAGAAACTGCCTAAACTGGTTAGTGATGCAAAGGGTTTTGGGCCGGCTAGCTCCATCGCGCTATATAGTACCTCTCTTTATCTCTATCTTTTTATCTATTTCTGTCCCTTTTAATTTTTAACTTTTCCTAGCTATTTTCCTATTTTTATTTGTTATTTCCTAAGTATCTCTCTTAGAAAAATCTCTCCTATTGAACTTTCTTTTTCTGCTGCTGGCTGTTTGTTTCTTGCCAATCACCTTCGCCTCTTTCAGTGAGATTCTCTTTCACTTGACTTAACTCTTTCTTTACCCTTGCCGGCGCTATATCGCTTACCCCGCATAGTATGCTACCTGATAAAACAAAAAAGGGCTAACCCCCAGAAGACTATTAAGGCTTATACTTCAACACTGCCGCCGGTACTTCCCAACCCCACAGTGGTCTTCGCTTTGACTGAAAGAGGCTTTCTAGCTCACCCCACTCTGGTCACTCTGTCTGACCAATCACAGGCTTAAATACCGATAGGGGTTTCCTCTTTCAGTGAAATTAGGACGAAAAATAAGGATGTAGCTAATGAGAGATGTAGAATTTCCTCTTTCAGTGAAATTGGGACAAACAATAAGGATGTAGTCTCTTCATTTTCCTTATATATCTATATCTTACCTTCTCTTTTACTTCTTCTTTATATCTCTTTATTTCTTATTTTATAATTCCTAGGAAAATCCTTATATAAATAGCACTAGAGCAAATAGCTTCTATAGCCTAATATAACCCTATCCCAACCTTAAGAACAGATCTTAGTATATCCCTAAACTCGCGAACAACCAATAGCAATAAGGCCACCCTGTAGTAACACAAGTTAACATCATTTAGTAGACAGTAGTAGGAAGAAAATGCTTACATGGCTATTATCATTGCAGCAAACTGCAGTAGCTTGACAAGTCGCGGGATCAGTAATAGATGAGCCTGAAAGGAAATATTAGACCACGAAACGGAAAGGCAGTGAGGGAATACATACATGTTGCTCCGAGGAGAGTGTTGGGATCTTGAACCACAATACCAAGCAACCCCAGAAGAAGGCTGATCACGGGATTGGTTGCGGTTCTAACAGTTTGGCAGCATGTCAGGGCGGCTGGTGCATTGCATATGCTAGCAGCAGCAGTAGTGGTAGCAGCAACCGCGCTTGATTCTGTCGTAGTCTCGACGATAGATGTGATAGCAGCCGTTGTCGCGCCACCTGGCTCAGTTGACACAGTCGCTGCGAAAGTTGAGGAGAGCGATTCTATCGTCGTCACACCAATAAGTCCAGTGGTTTCAGAACTGCTCTCGATGCTAGAGGGTCGGCAAGGACCCGCTGAAACAGCGCCAAGAAAGATGGACAACACCAACGCAGAAAATCGCATCTTGGCAGATCAAGTGGCTTCAAGCCGTTAAAAAAGAAGTAGTTAGTTGGGAAGAAATGAAACAAAAGAGGAAGAAATCTATCTAGCGGCACAAAGGAAATAGGAGTAACGTGAGTGGGAATAGTAAGCTAATGCCAATAGTTTCTCAATAGTCCACGGGCTAAGCCCAGATCCGCCATTGAAGCGAAATGAATTGCATGTCACAGTGCTCTTATTGGCTAAGTCGCAAGGCCGACTGGAAATAATCACAGGAATGTCCGTCCTCCTCGAAACATCAACGACGTGCATAGGTAGCTACCTTGTTAGTTATTCTAGAAGCTCTGTTTGGATCAGATTGGTTAGCGTGTTAGAGGCTCATCATCATCATCATCAACGTTGTCAATAACGAATGCATTTTATTTCCATTAGTTGTTAATATTAAATAAAGTGAGTGGCATCTTACAATACGGAAAATAGAGCAAGTCAGCAATGCTCACCTTCTATATAATTTCCTATCTCTTCTTGTCGTTTGGCTTTATTGTTGTCTCTCATTAATCAATTAATACGACAGAAGTGGCTCCATGTCTGCACTAACCTGACAACGAAACCTGATAATGAAACCATGTCTTGCGCCAATGACCAAACTTATGGGAGCCTCTTTATCTCCTAACACTTATCGGCCAAACAGCTAACAAGACTAGGTAAGCATTATTCGTCTGTGGCTGGGCATGCAACTTATTTCCGTTAACTAACGTCAACGGCAAGTCATCTATCAAACCAGGCATTAGTTGAAGTCTACTAGCCATATCCCGATCCATGATCTGCGGTAATTTGACAATGAGGTTGACTTTATATGCTAAAAGTAGCTTGTTTGTCTTGTAAAGAGGCTTATGGCAATCTGACGGTGCTGTAGATGCCAATTGTGGCAGCAGTGTCTGGAAGTCGTTAATGTCCCTATCGAGATGTTAGTAGAAGTCACACCTAAAAGACAAGTCCACATTACCAAAGACCTCTCTTTATATCGAAAACTCCCATTCCAGTATATGTCAATGTGACTTGGAAGTCCATCTCAGGCGTCTCGTCAGTGTCGTTGTCACCATCGGGTTCAATTATGCCCAGCTGTGCCCAAGCCTTGTTCTTGAGGTCCTCAAATGAAACAAGGCGTTGCTCAGGTGCGGAAGATTTATCGTAACACTCGTCGCGCCATCTCTTTGCAGTGCTCCGGTACCCCGAAAGGTAATAGCGAGGCCTATAGACTATGTCTGCTTGCTGAGTTGCGCGCTCATTCAAGATATCGATATCTGAGACTGCGCAAGGCATGTTGTTACTGGATTCAGCAGTTAGTTAGTCACCAAGTCGCCATCATCAGAAAACAGCCTTACCCTTGCTTTGGCTCCAAACGTGCTTGAGCGTCATTAAACATTTCTTTAGCAAGCTTTACCGAGGAATGGCGCAGTTTACCAGCGAGCGTGTCGCGAATCCTACACGCTTCAACATAGTCGGTCGCGTACTGATTTATCTAATCCTGAAACTTGATAGTCGGGTCCAATTTCTGAATCTTTTCAAATCTTGCGACTGCTTTTTCGTATTCATCATTGGCATTCCGTTTAGCCCGTAAGTATGCGCCCTCTTTATCAGCCGCTTCAGTGTCCGATGCGAACACCTAGCGAGGAGTGTTAAATAATGATACTGGACTCATGGTCGGGCGACTTACATCTTCAACATTGCTGACATATCTAATCAATTGATTAGCATTAAAACCAACAGAGAGACAAGGGCGGACGAGTACTAACTTGTTTAGCTAACCGAAGTAGTTACCGTGGTTAGACCTGTAAATAGGAGATAATGGTGACTGAACCGCATTTCCATGTTCGTAAATGGATTCATTTATGAACTTATCTTTGATGCCTAAAGGAATCCCCTTCTGTAGCGGGCTTGCAATGAGCAGCGCTTGGTCCGCTGCATCCAGGTTACTCTCTGGTGTTAACAAGCCCCGAATGCTATGAGCGTATGCTTTGATAACGGGTGACAGTTTGGCCTTGATTAGTGGCTTTGGTGGCGGCTGTGATGATATCGGGATGATGAGACTTGAGGAAATACTTATCGATCTGTTGGTGTTGGCACTTGTATGGGAATAAGGCACTGGTCTCAGGCTTGAGACATCTTTTAGGATGCCTGCACGTAGGAGTGGTATTTGGTATAGTAGATATCTAGTCTATTATAACGCAGGGAGTAGAGTATTATCCTGGGCGGATTTGTATTTTGATGTTCTAACTCATGCAATAACAGGGCCAATAAGAAAATCACATAAATATTAGAGGATAATTAATATCTCCCTTTCGGCTTAGTTTTGAAATGCTGCGCTAGGCCCTATATGAATTAGCGGCGATTTGCTTCTGAAAATGGATGAATCTTGACTACGAAATTCATAATTGGCTGAGTGACGGCCCTACATATCTAAAAATGGCTATATTTTAACTGCTAAATTCTGATTAGCTGTAAAGCTTGGGGCCGATGATAAGGTCAGCAATTTCTAAGATAAATATATTAATAATAAGCTAGAAGGTCTTATAAAAATATAAGTAAGTTAAGGCTAAAGGCTATATTATATGTATTTATATAATAGTAATAAGTTATATACTACATTTAGTGTCTAGTCTGAGTGGGTAAACAATTGATGTTGACCGCGAAATACTGATTGGGCTAGTGCGTGACCGCAAAAATCAGATGAAGTTTAGTGTGTGACCGCTAAATTGTGGTTGGCCAGAGTCTCGAGCACTAAGAGTGAGATAGGCTAGCGCGGCGACTAGAAAACTTAAAATGGTAATTTTAATTGACCCGATGGCTTTGTGCATAAGGCATATCACGGGGTGTAGAATCTTGTATCAGGACCTGATACGCGGGGTAATTGGTACAGTAGGCCGTAGCTTGTCTTTTTCCCTCTCATTTTAGATCAAGTCTATCGGTCTAACACACAATAGCCGTAAAGACCTCCTGGAAAGCAATTGTTGTGATATATGTACCGTCTCTAGGCTTAGTCAGGAAACGCGCCCAGGCGCCCACCTATTAGTCGCCGGTAGATGGCCGGGATACACGTCACGTTCGGATCGCTCAAACAGGTTGAACTCGAAACTCATTAGCAAAGAAGCAAGGGTCAGCCAGTGAAAAGACCAGAACCCATACCTTGACTTGAAATTTGTTGGGGCCCTTTATTGAGAGCTCTCTTTTAAGTGAAAGTGGAATGCGGGGTACATACAGGATTATCATCCAATAGCATTGCGAAACGTCCACTTTCCGTGAAAGTGAGAGGATCAATAGAGATGTAGTAAATGGACTCTACTCCAGCCTTCTTAATCGACTCTATACTATATTTAGTGTCCAGTCTGAGTTGGTAAAAAATCGATGTTAATAAAAGACTGATTATTTGCAGCTCTGGTTATGTAGCAATATTCTAGGACGACATGATTGGACCAATCTGCTGCACGGTGCGTTTATGCAATTTGACTGTCCAGTTTACACAGCCAGCACGGAACGGAACAACCCAGCCGCCCAATTATCCCAGCCATGTCAGGTGACTTCGTGTAATCTTATGGAGAAATCACGCTCCTCCACATCACATCATCTCGACCAACAGACACCAACGAACCCCACAACCAGCGACCGAGAATTACTGAGCAAAACGAATGATGGAGAACACAATCCTCCTGGAAATCAAGCGGGAATTCAGCGGGCTCAGGGACGAAATCCGAAATGAACTCAGCGGGTTCAAAGACGAAGTCCGGAACGACCCTAGGTCTAGTGGAGGATAACTTCACGCGGTTCAAAGAGCGCGCGCGCGAATTCGACGCAAGACCTAAAGCTGCGCCGATAAAACGCGCTGAAGTTTGCG